CCCCCCCCCCCCCCCAAAATGTGGTCTTTAAGGTTGTATTTTTATCTTCAAGAAATCTTGGATGGGTTGGAGTTGTATTGGGTCAAGAAAAGAGTCCAAAAAATTCAAAAAACCTATTTCTCGCATGGCACCGCCCATGATTCTGTTTATTTTTAGTGACGATGGCGCTGCGGCGGGACTATTTCGGCACCGTGGCGCCCGTTTCGGTTGGAAAAACTGCACTGTGCGTCATTCAGTATTTTTATCATAACTCAAAGGGCTACAACTCTACTTCAAATATCATTTTTCAATTCAAGCGTTTGCTATATCAAAAATGAGTCTCAATATAAGACTGAAAATTCGAAGCATAACTTTTTCGATTGGAAATTGATGTGATCATACTTTGTATGTATTTCATCCATTTGGCTTCTTTTTTCATCCAATTGACTCCAATGACTCTCGAATATTCATTGTGAGGTTCAACGCAACTTTTGAGTATTTGCACTTTAATCCCCAAACTTTGGAACTCTTACAATTTAGCCCAGTTTCTCCAATTTACCAACTTTTACTTATTTCCTTCAATTTCATCACCCTATATCAAAACATCAAAACACATATTAAAATGCCTTAAAACTCTCTCAAGGATAGCAAAATAACGAATTAAGTGGCATAAATAGCAGAATGTAGAACACTCGTCAAATTTGCCAACTTTTGCTTATTTCCTTCAATTTTTTTTTGCTTATTTTGATTATTTTTTTTCAACTTAAGATTAACCTCACCCTTTCTTTCTCTTCTTGACCTATGTACTGAGCTTTTAGTCGGTAACTCCCCGATTTTGAAATACCAAAGGGTACCAAGTCTTAAGAAACCCCTAAGGACTTACTAACTCGAATAAAAAAGGTGCAGGCGTGAAGTAATGAGTTAACAAATGCAATTTTCTTTCTTTAAAAGGAAAGCAAAAATGATTAAAGAGCTAAATTCCTAGCATATGATCATCACATAGTTCATACTTGAAAGCTGAAGAGGCTCCACACAATAATTTTTTTTTCAGCATGCATGGAATTACCACAATCCTACATCATATAATTTACCAGCTTGAAGGCCCCAAATTATATTATACAAGGTTAAGGATATAGTGAATATTCGATTTTGGGATTGATCGTTTAAGTTCTCAATTTCAACCTATAAACATGAATCAACCTACTCATGTACAACACCACAATTAACACATGTGCTTAAATACTTTATGTTCTGCGTGAATAAGCAAAAAATTTAAGTAAAATACATAACCTATTCATGATCCATAAACTAACACAGGTCCTCAATAATATATATCATTGTCGATAAGGCTATCTAACTCACACAAGCATGCAAAAGAAGTAAAAAAAATTTCTTAAAAAGAACACGCACACAAATCACACAAAATAAAAATATTAGGTAATTAGACAATTTGTAATATACCCCCAAACTTAAATTGAACATTGTCCCCAATGTAAAATTAAAGAAAAGTGAGGAGAACTGCCCTGAATTATCTGTATTGCTTGTACGTTTTGGTGCTTATGATATTGGATTTGATGAATATTTGTCATCTTTGTCATGTTCCTGAAAAATCAAATTTTAGATATTAAATATATGGAACAGGGTTACTTAGCTGAAACATAGAATAACTAACTTAACTATTCAAGGACCTAGGAGAAGACGAGATATGGATGATGATTTCTAAATAAATTGTAAAATAAACTAGATCTATCCTATAATTCGAAAATAAAATAAATAAAAAGGAATAAAGCCTGGGTCTACAAATAAGCGCTCCTTTAACGTCATTAGTTTGACCTAACCGAAGTGTCTACGTTGGATCTTTAGGTGGCACTTCTCTCTTCTTGCTAAACTTTACCCTTAGCTTTGTATTCTTCTTTTTCGTTGTAGCATGATAATGTTGGGAGGTTTCAGAGGTTCTTCAATGTAGTTTTTCAATCTGTCGGTGGATAGACTTCTTGAGTTAAAATGAAATCTACTACTTCATTTGTCCTTGTATAGCTTTTGGTAGCAGCTGTAGCAATCTTTGAGTAATTGTTGCCATGTATTACTCTAGAGGGTCATGGAACAATTTTTTTTACAATTTTTACCCTTCACTTCGTCAATTGATTAGACCATATAGCAGGTGTTAACTTTTTCTGAGGATTTTTCTTGTTGATGTTTGCGGAACACGACCTGTTCCTCATTAACCCGAAGTGTCAACTTCCCTTCTTGTACTTCAATCAACGCTCTTTCAGTAGTGAAAAAGGGTCTACCAAGAATCGATGGTACTTTCTCATCCTCCTCCATATCCAACACCACAAAGTCAACCGAAAAGATGAATTTATCGACCTTCACCAATACATCTTCAATAATGCCCTTGAGGGTTGTGGGCTTCATTTCTCCAAGACCCAAATTTTCGAACACTGATAGGGGCATCAAGTTAATGCTAGCTCCAAGGTCACCTAATGCTTTATCAAATGTGATACCACAAATATTGCAAAGAATGTTGAAGTTGCTTGGATCTTTCAATTTCTAAGGAGGCTTCTTTTGAAGAATGGTGCTACATTCTTCTGTCAGCTTAACCATCTCAAACTCATCCAACTTTCTCTTCTTTGACATAACTTCCTCTAAGAACTTAGCATAGTTACACATTTGGGCCAAAGCATCTGCAAAAGGAATGTTGACGTGGATTTTCTTGAAGACTTTCAAGAACTTTGCGAACTGCTCATCAAATTTCTTATTCATGAATCTCTGTGGGAATGGTAACGGGGGCTTCAAGATAGGTGGGTTGTCTGGAAATGAGATTGAGTAAGATTTATTAATCTTTTTTATTCCTTCTGCTTTGGTTTTCTACTTTTCAATCTGCTCTTCCTCTGTAAGTATGGGATCCGGTATAGGCCCTACAAACTTTTTTCTTAAACTTCTTTACCACTCTTTAATGTGATGGTATTGCAGTACTTCCTTAGGTTAATCTCCGTGTCACTGGAAAATTTTCCTTTCTGTTGGGACTGTAATGCAGTTGCTATCTGACCAATTTGCACCTCCAAATTCTTCACNCACCACTAAATTCTTCACTATGGTTACCAAGTTAGTCACATGAGTCTCAATGTTGTCAAGTCTTAACTCATCTTTGTTGAACCTCAATCTAGTCTCTGAAATGAAGGTTCCCAAAATATCCTCTAGCGATGGCTTTCCTTCAGAAGAAGCCTAATTATTAAACCTACATGGTGGTTGTAGCACGTTAGCATTGTTACCATAAGAGAAATTTTCATGGTTTCGCAGTCCTGGATGGTACTGGTTTGCTGAGTAGTTTTCTCTCTGATTGAAGTTTTTGCCATTCACATACTGGACTTGTTCCTTTTCTGACTTGGACTCATGGTATAAAGTGGAAACGACCATGATGGAGTCTGTTTTCTTCTGAGTTCCATGTGATGTTAATACAGCTATTTGAGTAGTGAGAGATGACAACTGAGCAACAAGGGCTATGATAGGATCCACTTCATAAAGGCCAGCAACTTTCTTAGCACTTGAACGTTCACTTGGCCATTGATAGCTATTAGTAGCTATCTCATCCAACAATGAATAAGTCACATCCGGAGTCTTGGACATCAGAGTTTCTCCTATTGTAGAATCTATTATTGTCCTTGTTTGACCATTTAGCCCGTTGTAGAAGAGTTCGATTTGTACCCAACTCTGATAGCCATGTTGATGACATCTTTTAAGTAGATCTTCGAAAATCTCTCCCATGCCTTATAAAATGGCTCGAACTCAGATTGTCTTAATTTACCAATTTCACTCTACAATTGAGCTGCCTTGGAGGGTGGAAAAAATTTTGTAAGAAATTTCTGAGCTAACCCCTCCCAAGGTATGATGGATCAATATGGCAAAGATTGGAACCATGCTTTGGCTTTATCTTTGAAAGAAAAGGAAAATAAGCGGAGTCTGATGGCGTCTTTAGTAATACCATTATCTTGACGGTATCACAGATTTCGAGAAAGGAACCAAGATGAGCATTTGGATCTTCTGTTACAACTCTCCAAAACTGATGCTGCTGTACCATGTGTATTAGTCCAGGCTTCAGTTCGAAGTTGTTTGCAGTTATAGCGAGGCGTACAATGTCGGAATAGTTATCATTGACAATGGACCTAACATAGTTACGAATAGCTCTTTGTTGATTATTTTCATTAGCTGCTCTTCCATCCTATTCGGCCATTGCTTCACGTTCATATCTCTAAATTTTCCCCTCTTAAGTGTCGATATTGACTAGCATCAAATCATTCAATTAGTGGTCAATTAATTGAAAGCATTAAAATCATAACACAAATAAACACATGCGAAAAATCTAATAGAAATAACTAAAATTAATAAATCCATATTCTCAAGTTTTTTGCCACAATCAAACCCTGAATAATGAATTTAGCTCATGATATAATCTATGAAATACTAAAATTCATATAAAAAGACATAGGGAAGATAATAGAAAAAAGTAGGATGTAGATTTTCAATTTCTTCTCTTGTTCTTCTTTGTCTTGTTCTAGCCTCCCTTTGATTTCTTGAATTATCCCCACTTTTCCTCCTTCAATTGTGTTGAATTCGCCATCCCAAAAGTGGTCTATAGGGATGTATTTTTATCCTCATGAAATCTTGGACGGGTTGGATTTGTATGGGGCCAAGAAAAGAGTCCAAAATATTCAAAAAACCTATTTCTCGCATGGAGGCGCCTCAGCGCCCAATATAGGCACTGATTCTGTTTATTTTCAGTGACGGTGGAGCTATGGTATCACTATTTCAGCGCCGCAGCGCCCATTTCGTTTGGAAAAACTGCACTACGCGTCCTTCAATATTTTTATCATAAAGTTTTCTCTCGATATCCGATTAAGGCAATTTAAGATGCGTTGGAAAGATAACCCAAAGGGATACAACTTTACTTCAGATATAATTTTCCAATTCAAATGTTTGCTATGTCAAAAATGAGTCTAAATATAAGATACGTTGGAAAGATAACCCAAAGGGATACAACTTTACTTCAGATATAATTTTCCAATTCAAATGTTTGCTATGTCAAAAATGAGTCTAAATATAAGATTGAAAATCTGAAGCATAACTTTTTTCGGTTGGAAATTGATATGTGATCATACTTTGCATATATTTCATTCCTATGACTTCTTTCTTCATCCAATTGACTCCAAGCACTCTCGAATCTTCATTTTGAGGTTTGAAACAACTCTTGAGTATTTTCACTTTGGTCCCCAAACTTTGGATCTCTTATAATTTAGCCAGTTTCTCCAATTTGCCAATTTTTGTTTATTTCCTTCAATTCCATCACCATATATCACAACATCAAAACACACATTAAAATGTCCTAAAACTCTCTCAAGGACAACAAAATAATGAATTAAGTGGCATAAATATCATAAGTGTAGAACACTCATCAACTCCCCAATAAAATGGGGTAGTGGAAATGATAAATAGAACCATAATTGATAAAGTGCGTTGCATGATGTTAAGTTCTGGAGTCCTAAAGTCTTTTTGGGGAAAAATTGTTATGACTGCTTGTTATCTGATTAATTTGACTCCATCTACTGCATTGAATGGTATTACTCCGCATGAAAAATGATCTGGTAAACTAAGTAATTATTCTATGCTTAGAACTTTTAACTGTACTGCATTTTCTCATCAGAGTGAGCAAAAGCTTGAACCTAGATCTAGAAAATGTGTTTTTCCAAGTTATCCTGAGGGTGTCAGGGGTAGAGGTTGTGGGATATGAATCAAAATAGGGCTAAGATCATTGTGAGTAGAGATGTGACATTCAATGAGAGCGAAATGTTGTGTCTTAAAACTAAATCTGAACTTGTGAATGAAGAAAAACGAGGTGAAGAGAGAAATCAGTTGAACGTGGAGTTAAGAAAACTTAGCACATCTATCTTCATTACACAGAGAGAGGTGGACACTCAGGAAAAACAACTTAACATGGAAAATAGAGAGAAAGTAGTAATAGAAGAACACCCTGAAGAAGAGAATCCTCTAGCAGATTATAACTTAGTTAGGAATAGAGAGATTAGAAAATCTAGAATACCCATAAGATTTGGTTATGAATCTGAGCTAGCTTTTGCTCATTCGAGCTATGGGGAATTAGCTGATAGGGAACCAAAGACCTTTGAGAAGGCGATGAAAAGTGAACATTCTGAANCCTAAGAATAAATCTACCATTGACTTTAAGTGGGTATTTAAGGTTAAGGAGGGTACTAGGGCATCTGAACCCTTTAGATTTAAGGATAGGTTAGTGGCCAGGGGAACACTTAGAAGGAGATGGTTGATTATAACAAGATTTTTTTCACCTATTGTTAATTATACCACTATTAGAGTCATAATTGCATTGGTCGCACATTTTGACTGGGAACTTAACAACTTGATATAAAAACTACTTTTTTACATAATGAACTTGAACAAATTTTTATGAATCAACTAAAAGGTTTTTAAAACAAACTAAAACCTGATTATGTGTGCTTCTTGAAAAGATCTTTATATTGCCTAAGACAATCATCGAGACAGTGGTATAAAAGATTTGACTCTTTTGTACTATCTATAAGTTTTCAACGGAGTAAGTTTGATTATTGCTTTTACTTTCAACATAATGATGCTAATAATGACCATGTGTTTTTATTGCTATATGCGGATGGTATGCTCTTAGTTGGTTCATCACCTAAGTGGATAAGTAACATAAAAATAAGTTTCAATTGTGAGTTTGACATGAAAGATCTAAGAAAGACAAAAAGAATCCTAGGTATGGAAATTGAAAGAGAGAGCTCAAATTCTATTTTGTTTTTACATTAATCCTTACATGTTTCAAAGGTATTAAAGAAATTTGGCATGCACGATTGCAAACCTGTTAAATTTCCTTTAGCTAATCATTTTGTATTTTCTAAAGATTAGGCCCCATGTAATAAAAATAGATAGAATACATGAGTAGAATCCCATACTCCAATGTGATTGGTTCTATTACGTATTTGATAGTTTACACTAGACCAGCTTTAGCTTTTGCTGTTAGCACTCTTAGTAGATACATGTCTAATCCTGGTGTTGAGGACTAGGAAGCCTTGAAATGGATGTTAAGGTACTTAAAGGTAACTAGTAATGTAGGTCTAAGGTTTGGTGTCAATAATGAGAGTGTAAAATTGAAGGATTTTGTAGATGCTGACTATGTTAGGGATGGAGATAATAGGAAATCTACTTCTTCTTATGTGTATACTTTGTCTAACTCTCGTGTTAGTTGGAAATCACAGTAACAACACATTGTTGCACTATCCATGATAGAATCTGAATACATTGTCACTACTGAAGCTATTAAAGAAGCTTTATGGCTTAGGGGCCTTTAACATGAACTGTGTGTTCTAAATGATTATGTAGTAGTATATTCAGATAGTCAGTCTTCCATACATCTATGTAAGAATCATGTTTTTCACGAACGCACCAAGCACATTGATGTTAGACTACATTTCATTAGAGATATTGTGTCTCAAGAAGTTGTAAGACTTGAGAAAATACNCAAGAAGTTGTAAGACTTGAGAAGATACACAATTTAATCCCTCAAACATGGGCACTAAGGTGTTACCATTGGTGAAGTTTAGAAGTTGCAAAGATCTTCTAAACATCGGTGGAGGTAAATAATTGTGAATTTTATTGGTTCTTCTTTTCTGGATTATTACTAACGCGTAATAACTTTTTTTGTAGGTTCTTTGACACCA